AGGGCAGTGATGGAGACGCTCCAGCCGGGGTCCCCTTTGTGTCCCYGTGTCCCTGYGGCTCCYCTGGCACRCCCGGCGCTCGTGCTCAGGGSTTTGGAYGCTGGTGCCGGATCAGGCTCCTGCTGCGACGCCGTCATCGCCCCGGCGAGAGGTGCCGGGTGGGAGGGGTGTTCTGCACCCCCGCTTGCCCCTCTGTGCTGCTCCATCCCCCTGCCTGCCCTGCTGGGTGCCTGGGAAGGTTTTCTTGGCAGGAGCCTTTGGTTGGCACTGTGCAGCTCTGTCCTGGCTCTGTGTCCCTTGTYCCCATCCCTTCTCAGGGCGCTCAGGGGGTGGTGGCTGGGGTGGCCGTGGTCCTGCTGGCTCTCTCCTTGTTGGGGTATTGCCTGGGCCGAGGCTGGTGGAGGGAGATGAGCCCTGAGCATCCTGCTGGCCTCAGGACRGGCTGAGGCTTTGGGCAGGGTGATCCCCAGTGCCTGTGTGGGGCTGGCTGGGCACAGAGAGCTCTGTCTGGGAGAGCTGGGATTTACGTCCCTCCTGCCAGGCTGGAGGGTGGAGGRCAGCGCCCCGCTGGTGAAGTGCTGGGTAATTTGGCTGCCACTTAGGTGAGTTCCTTAGTGTCACCTGAGCACAGGAACCTGTGTCATGGTCTCTCAGGGGGCAGCAAGGCTCTCGATGCGTGTCACACATTCCTGGTGGCTCATGGGCTGGTTGTTTGACTGTGTCCAGGTACAGGTCAGGGAGCATCTCCATCATTCACATCTTGGACCCTGACAGCATCACGCCTGGTCCTTCTGAGCAGACAGGACGTGGGCAGCATCTTTCTGGTAGCGGTAGGGACAAGGAGTGCCAGAGCACGCTCAGAGGGTGCCTTTATGGCCACCRAAGCTGCTCATCTCTGGTGGAGAGCATGGGAAGCTTGGGCAGAGGATGAGGCTCAGGCACTGTGASCTCCCCAGTGTCACCAGCAGGGTGACAGGTTGGGAACTGGGCCAGGAGAGAACCTGGGCTGGCTCTGTCGGTGATTGTCGTGTTTGGCTGGACAGCTGCTGGCGGGAAAGAGCCTGGGGGATGCTGGTCACCGGGGATGGAACATGAGCCCAGGTGTGCCCAGGTGGCCAAGAAGGCCAATAGCACCTGGCTTGTACCAGCCATGGTGTGACCAGCAGGACCAGTGACCATCCCTCTGAGCTGGGCACTGCTGAGGCCCCACCTCCAGTCCTGGGGGCAGTCCCTCATAACAGGAAAGAAATTGGAGGATGTCCTGAGAGRGGAATGGGGCTGGGGAAGGGTCTGGAGCACCAGGAGTGGCTGAGGGAGCTGGGAAAGGGGCTCAGCCTGGAGCAAAGGAGGCTCCGGGGGGACCTTGTGGCTCTGCACAACTCCCTGACAGGAGGGGGCAGCCGGAGGGATCGGGCTCTGCTCCCAGGTAAAAAGTGACAAGACAAGAGGAAACAACCTCAAGTTTTCCTGGGGGAAAACTGGGGAATAAYTGGGGGAAAATCCTGGAGAATATTGGGGAAAACGTCTTCCGTGAAAGGGTGGTCAGGCCCTGGCGCAGCTGTCCAGGGTAGGGGTGGAGTTGCCATCCCTGGAAGTGTCCAGAAGATGTGTGGGTGTGGCATTTGGGAACAGGGGTTCGTGGTGACGATGGCAGAGCTGGGGCAATGGTTGAACTTGCTGATCTTAGAGGGTGTTTTCAACCTGAACAATTCCACAATTCTGTGTTTGGAGGAGGTGTCCTGGTGCCTGGGCATGACTTGGAGCTACGTGTGAGCACCTCCCTGACCCAGCTGGGCTCTCACGCTGCCCAGTGCCCAGCCTGGTGGCTTCCTGAGAGGGCAGGCTGTGACACTGGTGCAGGAGAGCTGGGGCACGTGGACACTGGGGAGCAGGAGAAGCAGCTGCACTGGCCTAGAGAAACCCWCTGAGATGTCTCCTGGTGGCCACATAAAACCCCTGTGATGCTTTGAGATGTCCCTGTGTTTTCCCACATGAGTTGCCAGCGAGTGCCTGTCCTTGCCCTCTTGGCCCACTCCTCCCATTCTCACAGTGGAGTCTGTAGCATGTGTCCAGCAGCTGGCAGCAGCTCCCAGGGACATCCCTGGGTGAGGCTTGGCCAATTGCCTGAAAGGCAGGACCTTCCCGGGGCATTCCTGCATCTTCCGTGTCTCTCTYATGCTGGGGACACATGACAGGATGGCATGGGGAAAAACACTGAGGGCTGGCACCTGGGTCTCTCCATCCCCACAGGTTTCCTGGCTGGAAAAAKCAGGGTGAGGGATCTCTTGGGTGCTTGGAGCTGCTGGGCAGTGAGGTTTGGGGAATGGCAGTGGGGCAGATATTGCTGTATGGACACTGGGACAGCCCAGCATGGCCAGGCTCAAAGTTGGTTCCTAAATGCCTTGTGGAAAATTCAGGTGTGCACAACCTTCCAGCGCTGCTGCTCGTGATCTTGCAAACCCCCCTGGCAGGTATTTAATCCCCTGGGGGGAGTGGAGAGGGAGTGGAGAGACAAAGAAATATTCTGCTGAGAACCTGCTCTCGTTTTTCCTGRGAGGAAAAAAAAAATCCTAAACATATTGTGTCTGCAGTCTGTTCCTCTGCCCATTCCCTGGGGCTGCAGTTGCTGTGCATGTCTAGGGTGGGGATGGGGGAAGCACATCATCTTGCTCCAGAAGTAATTAAAATCAGGGATAATTTTCCTGGAGGAGGGTGGGACCCTGGGAAGGCGACAGGAACGAGTCTGGGACTGAGCACATCAGAGGCTGCTTTTTATTGTGGCTGCTGAGCTAAATATATCCAACAGAGGCACAGAGCTGTTCCCATGCGTGGGGTGAGGGGTGAGGGGGTGCCTGGGCACTGCTGCCCTGCCAGGGACACCCTGTGCCCCCAAACACAGTGGGGTTTGGCCCTCCTGGGTTTTATTTGCTGCTGGACAGGTGGGTGAGGAGCAGTGGCTCATGTGGACCCCAGGAAAGGGTCAGGCTGGACATCAGGGAAAGGTTCTGTCCCCAGAGGTTGCTGGGCACTGCCCAGGGTCCCCAGGGAATGAGCACGGCCCCGAGGCTGCCAGAGCTCCAGGAGCGTTTGGACAGCGCTGTCAGGGGTACACAGGGTGGGATTGTTGGGGTGTCTGTGCAGGGACAGGGGTGGGACTGGATGATCCTGGTGGGTCCCTTCCAGCTCGGGAGATTCCGTGGTTCAGAATCCCAATCCACGCAGCGGCTGCTCGCCTCTCGGTGTGCCTTGCCAGSGCTGCGGTTTGGAGGAATTAATAGCTGTGTTTATGGAGCACCCGGGGACGGGAGCTGTGCAGTCATTAGCGCTAATGAGAGCTATTTGCATGGCGCTTGGCTCCAAACTCCCTCTTTCTCCATGAGTCCCCCGGGAGCCCCCGGCTTCCTGCAGCCGGGGCATCCAGCACAGCCGGAGCTGTGCAGCCCTAGAGCGGTGTCTGTGCTGGTCCAGCCGCTCTGCTGCCCCGTTTCTCGGGCAGGGATTGAGTGCAATGGGTGGGATGTGATGGGTGGGTCRCACTCTGCTCGCAGCCTCGCCCATCCCGGTCCCTTTGGCGGGTCCAGGGCCAGGGACAGCTACTGGGCTGGGCAGTGGTGTGGTTTAGATGGTGGGGACTGTCTTGCCATTGTGAGGAAAATTAATCCACAAGCACCAGAGGTTTATGTCAAAAGGGAAACAGAGGAGTAACTTTATTCATGAATAAAGGAGAGCTCACGGGCATTTCCCATGAGGTCTCTCAAATTGATAAATGACGCAGCCTCTTTTATCCCAATTTCCCAGCCACGGTTCCCTCTCCCTTTCCCCATTGGCTGAGGGACTGGAGAGGTACAGGCTCCCCAAATGCCCAATGCAACCCCCCTTCTAATGTGCATCCCCCCTTTAATGTATATCTCTGTGTCTGTGTGCTTGTAGTTCATTAACACAGTCTGGGGTCAGTCAATCAGAGGAATTCCTATGGAAATGCTTCCAGTTGTTCCCTTCTGTCTCCCAGTATGGGTCTCATCTCACCCACAGAGTCACAGTTTGTAAAGACACTCCCTTCTCATTCCTTTCACCGTGTTTTTGCATTTTGTAGCTGTGGTTTTTGCATTTTGATGGGAGTGGGTGGGGCTGTGCTGGGGCCCAATCCTGCCCGGTCCATGCTGGTGCTGTGGCGGTGCCATGGCCTGTGTGTGCCCAGCCCTGCCCGTCACCTCGGTCCTGGCAGTGGCTGGTGGTGTTTTTGGGATGTGTCAGCCTCTGTTCTCAGCTGCAGACAGGTCAGGGTTGTGGTTATGGCTGCAGGGGGTGAAGCATCCCCTGCCCTGTGTGCTCCCTGCATCAGCCACGTTTCCAGCTGGGACTGGAGAATGTTCTGGGCTGGAAGGGACCCACAGGGTTCATTGACTGCAACCCCTGGCRCTGCACAGACACCCCAACAATCCCACCCTGAGCATCCCTGGCAGCGCTGTCCAAACACTCCTGAAGCTCTGGCAGCCTCGGGGCTGTGCCCATTCCCTGGGGAGCTTGGGCAGTGCCCAGCACCCTCTGGGGAAGAACCTTTCCCTGAGATCCAGCCTGACCCTCCCTGACCCAGCTCCAGTCTGTCCCTAGGCCCTGTCACTGTCACAGAGAGCAGAGGTCAGWGCTGCCCCTCGTGGGGAAGTTGAGATCCCTGATGAGGGCTGACCTCAGGCTGCTCTTGTCCAGTCTGAACAAACCAAGTGAGCTCAGCTGCTTCTCATGTGGTTCCTCAAGGCTCTTCACCACTCTCATGTCCCTCTTTTGGACACTCCCTAATGCCTTTATGTCCTTCTTACATTGTGGTGCCCAAAACTGCACACAGCAGTCAGGATGAGGCTGCCCCAGTGCAGAGCAGCAGGGAACAGCCTTTTCCCTGCCCCARCGCTGGACTAGACACAGCATGGGCTCTGTTCACATCCCCAGGACCAGGCTGGTGTCCCCCACACCGGGCTGCCCTCAGCCTGCTTCTCTTCCCACAGGATCCGTCCCCAGCTGCCTAAAGAGAAGATCGAGGGATGTCACATCTGCACCTCGGTGACACCGGGCGAGCCCCAGGTGCTGCTGGGGAAGGACAARGCCTTCACCTACGACTTTGTCTTTGACCTGGACACATGGCAGGAGCGCATCTACACCACGTGCATGGGGAAGCTCATCGAGGGCTGCTTCGAGGGCTACAACGCCACGGTGCTGGCCTACGGGCAGGTACGGGCTCTGCCCTGGGGCTGGGTTCTCAGCAGGGCTGGGGAAGCTGACAGGGCTCTGCAGGGGTTGAGGAAGGTCCTGGGCTCTCAGCAGGGCTGGGGGAGCTGAGAGGGCACCTGCAGAGGTTAAGGAAGGTGGAGGGTGTGTGAGATTGCTGGGGGTGCTGAAAGGGAGCACCTGCAGAGGTGGGGTGGGGTGTGAGAGATCCTGGGTTCTCCAGCAGCACTGGGGATATTCAGAAGGCACTTGCAGAGGTAAGGAAGGCAGGGGTTGTGTGTTCAGGAGATCCTGGGCTGTCCAGCAACACTTGGGGTGCTGAGAAAGGGGGCACCTGCAGAGGTGGGGTGAGGTGTGTGAGATCCTGGGCTCTCCAGCAGTGCTGGGGATGCTCAGAGAGGGGTCACTACACGGGTTAAGGAAGGTGGAAGGTGTGTGAAATCGCTGGGGGTGCTGAGAGAGGGAGCACCTGCAGAGGTTAAGGAAGGGGGAGGGTGTGTGTTCAGGAGATCCTGGGCTGCCCAGCAGCGCTGGGTGTGCTGAGAGGGCACCTAGAGGTTAAGGAAGGTGGAGATTGTGCATGTTCAGGAGTTCCTGGATTCTCCAGCAGCACTCGGGGTGCTGAGAGGCACTGCAGAAGTTGAGCAAGGTGGGGTTGTGTGAGATCCTGGGCTGTCCAGCAGCACTGGGCATGCTGAGAGGGCACCTGGAGGTTAAAGAAGGTGGAGGTTGTGCGTGTTCAGAATATCCTGGGCTCTCCAGCAGCACTTGGGGTGCTGCTTCCTTAACCTGCAGCGGTTAAGGAAGGTGGAGGGGGTGAGATCCTGGGCTCTCCAGCAGTTCTGAGGATGCTCAGAGGGCACCTAGAGGTTAAAGGAGGTGGGGTGTTCAGGAGATCCTGGGCTGTCCAGCAGCACTGGGCATGCTGAGAGGGCACCTGGAGGTTAAAGAAGGTGGAGGTTGTGCGTGTTCAGAATATCCTGGGCTCTCCAGCAGCACTTGGGGTGCTGCTTCCTTAACCTGCAGCGGTTAAGGAAGGTGGAGGGGGTGAGATCCTGGGCTCTCCAGCAGTTCTGAGGATGCTCAGAGGGCACCTAGAGGTTAAGGAAGGTGAGGTGTGTATTCAGGAGATCCTGGGCTCTCCAGCAGCTCCTGCAGAGGTTAAGGRAAGTGGARGCTGTGTGAGATCCTGGGTATGGAGAGAACAGGGTTGTCCCTGGTTGGGTGAGAACTGGGGGCAGGGAGAGGGGGCGGCAGGGCTGGAATGGGAGTGTGGGAGCTGATGTGCTGCTGGGGGTCACAGCGGCTCAGCCAGGGCATGTAGGGAGCCTGAAGTAGTAGGGGGGAAAATGTGGGGTGCATGGGGCAGAGCTGAGCTGGAGAGGGCCCAGCTGAGCTGGAGAGGGCCCGGCTGAACCGAGGAGGGCCCGGCTGAACCAAGGAGGGCCCGGCTGAACTGAGGAGGGCCCAACTGAGCCAGGGAGGGCCTGGCTGAGCCAGGGAAGGCTCAGCCAACTCCCCCTTGCTGTCTCTGCACAGACCGGCGCAGGGAAGACCTACACCATGGGCACAGGCTTCGACATGAACATCTCGGAGGAGGAGCAGGGCATCATCCCGCGCGCCATCAGCCACCTCTTCAGCGGCATCGAGGAGCGCAGGCGGGCGGCCCAGAGCCAGGGCCTGGCCGCGCCCGAGTTCAAAGTCAGCGCCCAGTTCCTGGAGGTGGGTGCTGGGGGTCTGGGGGATGCCATGGCCCTGCCCTGTCTTTGATCCTCTCCCTCMCATGCATTGGGCTCTTTGAGTCCTCCCATGTCCTGGCTGGAGCTGGGGGTTTGTGCTGGTGCAGCGGAGACTCAGAGCACCAAGATGTTGTTGACCTCATCATGGTTGCAAACTGGGTGGAGGGAGATCCCAGCATGGGGMAAGTCTTCAGGCTTGGTCCCCTGTGGATCCAGGGGCTCTGGGCTGTCTCACCCCTGTCTGAGGTCAAGGATAGTGGGGTTCCTGCTGCCTTGGACCAGAGTTCCCAGTGAAATAGGAGGAGAAGRAAGTGCCACTCTTGGGAAGGGTTGAGGAAGGACTGTGCTGTTTTCCATGTCCTTTGTTGCATCTCTGACCCTGAGAATGCTGACCTGTCCTGGCTTCTCCTGTTCAAAAGCCTCTTCTACAAACCACTTCATTCCCTGGAGCAGTTAGTTTTTACTGGGAAGCCCATGGACCTTTTGTGTCGGCAGTGTTTTTCTGGGGGTTGCTCCTGGGCTGAAAGAGCAGAGAGGAGCAAGTGGGAGCTGCTTTAAGGCCCAGATAGAAAGCACAGGGTGGCATTGAGCAAAACAGAGCTCCTGAGTGAGCTCCATCTGGTTGAGGTTGTGACCAGAGGAGATGGGCAGGGAGGGGCCCCATGCTGTGGTCCTGCCTCCAGGTGGCTTTGTTGGCCATCACATCTGGGTGTCTTCAGATGATGAGGCTCGGAGAGGACCTTGAGTCACCTCTGGAGAAATTCTTCCCTCATACGTCTCCATCTGCAGAGCCCCTRTCAGCTCCTGTGGTGCTGTTGTGCCCTCCCTGTGTTCAGCTCTGGGGCTTCTCTTTGGGGATCCTGTGTGCTGGGACAGAAACAGGGACAATTTCCTGCCTGTCCCAAAGTCCTGTGGGGATCAAGTGGCACGTGGCCACATCAGGCACCGGTCACCAAGCCTATTGTCCTGGCAGGGGCACAGGGGCACGGCTGATCCCTGTCTTGTGACTGCACTCCTGGGAACAGGTTTAAACCTTCAGGGAGCCTGRCTGCACCTGGGGCAGCCAGGGACGGATTAGCCTGATCCCTTCTGCTGGCCAGGAGCCTGCAATCCTTGGGTGACCCAGCGCTCTGCACAGGGATGTGGGTGCAGGAGGGTGATGTTGAGCGCTGGTAGKGGGGGGACAGGTGGCCAGGGGTGTCCCTCCAGCCCAGTGAGAGAGGATGCTGCAGGGTTAAGATAGGGATGGAGTCTGCTCTGGGGCAGCAGGGTTTTCCTGCTTTTCCAGCGCCCCCTGGTCCCCCTTATCACCTTTCCACCTGGCAGAGTTGACCTCAGAGAGTGGGGTTTCACTGGCCAGGTGAGCCAGGGAGGTCAGGAGAATGTGTGGCTCCTGGGTGTCTGCTCAGCAGAGCTGCTTGTGTGGGCCAGGGACTGGACAGGGTTGGGCAGTGGAAACTGAAGCCCTGTCTGACTGAGGCCAGGCTGCAGCTCAGAGCTTTGCAGGGCAGGTTCTGGAATACCAGCCTGAGGAGGAGAGGCTCAGGGAACTGGGGGGCTCAGCCTGGAGAAAAGGAGGCTCTGGAGGGACCTYCTGGCTCTGCACAACTCCCTGACAGGAGGGTGGGGCCAGCTGGGRGTCAAGCTCTGCTCCCAGAAACAGGGACAGGACAAGAGGAAATGGCCTCAAGTTGTGCCAGCTGAGGTTTAGATTGGATAGTAGGAAAAATTTCTTYCCTGAAAGGGTGGTCAGGCATTGKCACAGCTGCCCAGGCCAGCAGTGGACTCACCATCCCTGGAAATGTTCAGAAGATGTGYGGGTGTGGCACTTGGGAAGATGTTTTAGTGATGAACATGGCAGTGCTGGGGGAATGGTTGGGCTTGATTATCTCAGARGGTTTTTCCAGCCTGAAGGATTCCGTGATCCTKTTCATCATCTCCTCTCTGCATCCAYGTGCTTGTGCCTCCTCTCCTACCCTTGCACACACCCCAGCTCCCCTGCTCAGCCTTGCACACGCATGTGAGCACACAAGCCTCCCCAGCAAGGTGCCAGGGGGCAGCTCCTGCCAGTCCTGTGCTCACCCTGTGCCCACTGCCCCCTGCTCAGCTCTACAACGAGGAGATCCTGGACCTGTTYGACAGCACCCGCGACCCCGAGGCACGGCACCGCAAATCCAACATCAAAATCCACGAGGATGCCAGCGGGAGCATCTACACCACGGGGGTCACGTCACGCCTCATCAGCTCACAGGATGAGGTGGGTGCAGGGCAGGGCAGGCACGGAGCAGGGGTGGCACTGGGTGCCACTGGCCAGGATGTGCTGGGTGGGGACAGCTTGGAACGGGGAGATCTCTCCCAGGATGGGACGGTGCAGTGCCAGGGGTGTTCTGGAACTGGTCAGTGTGCCCACTGAGCTGCACAGGGTCTGTCCTGGCTCCCCAGAAGGGTGCTTTGAGGTTTCCTTGCCTGCCTGGTGTCGTTGTAGCTGATCCAGTGCCTCAAGCAAGGAGCTCTGTCCCGCACCACCGCCAGCACGCAGATGAATGTGCAGAGCTCCCGCTCCCAYGCCATCTTCACCATTTACCTGTGCCAGACCAGAGTGTGTGCCCGCCCGGAGCTGGTGAGATGGTCCTGCCTCATGGCCAGGCTCTTCCTGGGTTCCRTATCTGGGTGATGCATGAAGTTCCCTGGGGAAGGGGAAAGGGTCTGAAGTCTGGCAAAGAGAAGGAGGGGTTTTTCTGTCTGCTTTCCAATCATAGCCAGCAGTAGGATTTAATGGGAGCTGAGGGTGAGCTGATCCAAGGCAGGATGGCTCAGAGCAAGCTGCTCTTGGGGTCCTGTCCCCACCTCTGAAGGGCTGGGTACAGAGGGTGAATGCTCAGGCTCCCACTGAGTGAAGCCAAGGGAGTTCCTGCATGCTCCTGTCTGGGGTGGTGACCCTTCACRTGTCCCTGGCTGCAGGTGACTGGRGAGGTGACCAGCATTCTGGATGGATCCCAGCCCACCACGGAGTATGAGACCTTGACAGCCAAGTTTCACTTTGTGGACCTGGCTGGCTCGGAGAGGCTGAAGAGGACGGGAGCGACGGGCGAGAGAGCCAAGGAAGGGATCTCCATCAACTGTGGGCTGGTATGGCAGGGGCAGGGCAGCGCCTGCCTGGGGGAGCCTGGGACACTTCTGGGTCTTGCTCAGAGCTACCCCGGGCTKTTGGGGTGCTGCTGTCTTGGCTTTGGGGTTTGTGCTGCCCATGCCTGATGGTGAGAATATGCACAGTGCCCATGATGAGAGCAGAACTGTGCTGCCAGAGGACAATTGTGCTGTTGGGAGGGTGCAGCAGGGCACAGGTCCCAAAAGGGTGAGATCTGCTCATGGGAGCTAAAAAACCCACTGTGGGGCTTTATGCTGCTTGTCAGGGGAGAGAGGCACAGCCCAGGCAGAGGGAAGCACCATGTCTGCCCCCTGTGCAGCCCAGATCTGATGTGCTGGCTACAGGGCAGCTGTGTCCTCAGGCAGGGCTGAATCGGGGGGGCTTCCCTTTGTGTTGGCAGCTGGCCTTGGGGAATGTCATCAGTGCCCTTGGGGAYCAGAGCAAGAAGGTGGTGCACGTGCCCTACCGCGACTCCAAACTCACCCGCCTGCTGCAGGACTCCCTCGGGGGCAACAGGTAAGGGGGTCCCGGGGGGGCTGACACCCTGCAGATGGGGCTGAGGGGCTCTGGAGCTGTGTAGGAGCTGTCTCAGGACACTGGTGACTGCCTGCTGGGGCGGGGATGCCTTCTTCCAGGCACTTTGCAAATAAAGACCGTGGCTCCTCGTTAGCCTCGGGTGCGATTAGTGGCTTTGGCAGAGCCAGTTGGTGCAAAACCCTCCTGAGTCCTCACAGATCTGGGACTTGGCAAGTGGTGGTGTCCAGTGTGGGTTGAATTGAATTCCCTGCCTCTTCTCCAGACAGGGGAGGCTTTCACGGAGGGCTGCCTTTGCTCGGTGCTGTGTGATGTGCTTGAGGGGACTCGTGGGTGCTCTGGCTCTGGCAGGGATGAACCCAGTTTATACCTTGGTTTTAAAGCACAGAAGGGCTCCCATTTAGGATGGGTGATGGGGTGATGGCTGAGAGCTGGGTTTCCACCCTGCTGGGCTGCTGGACAGTGCAGGGACCACCTYTGACCCTGCCTTGCATCCCCAAGCCAAACCATCATGATCGCCTGYGTGAGCCCCTCGGACCGGGATTTCATGGAGACCCTGAACACGCTCAAGTACGCCAACCGGGCTCGCAACATCAAGAACAAAGTGGTGGTGAACCAGGACAAGACGAGCCAGCAGATCAGCGCCCTGCGCGCYGAGATCGCCCGGCTGCAGATGGAGCTGATGGAGTACAAGGCAGTGAGTGACCCCATGTCCTGCTGTGACCCCGGCCAGTGAGGGGAGCCYGGGCAGCTGCTTGTTCACTGCCCCACCAGGGCAATGGGGGAGAGAGTTGAAGGAGTAAAAGTGAGAAAATTTGTTGGTTTTGGTACAGTTTAATAAGTAAAGCCAACCAAGGAATTCATTCTCCGTGTCCTGTCACAGGGACGTGTTTGGCCATCCCCAGCCCGAGCAGTGACTTGGGACAACAACCCAGACATCCCCTGTTCTTCCTTTTTTCTTTATATGCTGAGCATGTCGTCACATGCTCTGGGATATCCCTGTGATCACTGAGGGACAGTTTTCCTGKCTGTGTCCCCCCAGTGGCGAGTCAGGGTGAGGGACAGAGCAGCCCTTGGCTCAGCAGGAGCTAAATCAGCCGTGTGGGATTGGTGCTGATTTGAGCCCAGATCCCAAACACAGCACCACACAAAGCTGCTGTGAGGAAAATWAACTCCACCAAAGGCAAACCCTSCTGAGAGAGCGACCCCRGTGAAGGKTGCAGACTRTTGCAGAAAGCTCCCTCCTTGTGTTTGAATTGGGGCAGGTTTAGTGGGACAGACCCTCCTGCCTCCCACCCTGCCCCTACGGATAGGGTGACTCCTAGGAGGGGTCAGGAGGCTTAAGAAACGGGGTCTCAGCTCCTGCYTGCCAAAGCAGGACCTTGGCTGGGTTTTGGGGGCGGTAGGGCAGGGAGAAGCCCTGAAGCATCTCCCACCCTCTGCCTGTTCAGCTCAGACTCCCTTGGTCCCCAGGTTTGTCCCTGCTTTCGTGTCTGCAGTTGCCCAGGGATGCAGTGGTGGGTCCCTGTGTCCCACCCTGCACTCAGGGTGTCCCTCGTGTCCCCCCAGGGCAAGCGGGTGATCGGGGAGGATGGCGCCGAGGGCTACAGTGACCTGTTCCGTGAGAACGCCATGCTGCAGAAGGAGAACAGCGCCCTGCGCATGCGCRTCAAGGCCATGCAGGAGGCCATCGACGCCATCAACAGCAGGGTCACCTACCTCATGAGCCAGGAGGCCAACCTGATGCTGGCCAAAGCAGGTGAGCCTGGACTGGGGGGTGGCATGGAGGGTCAGCTCAGGCAGCAGCTGGGGCTGGTCCAGCCTGTGCGTGCCCTGACCCTCCTGTGCCTCTGCCACTGCAGGGGACGGCAACGAAGCCATCGGAACCCTCATCCAGAACTACATCCGGGAGATCGAGGAGCTGAGGTGAGTGGGCACACGGCTGGTCATCGGTCACTGGGGTCCCTTGTCAGGCTCTGAGGCTGGGTGGCTCTCACAGATCGCTGCCTCAGCCTTGATGGCACTGCTGCTATATGGGGTTGAAGGAGAGCCAGCTTTGGTGCCAGGCAGTGCTTTGGCCATTGTTGTCCTTTGTGTGAGCATTGATGGAAGGGGAGATCCTGATTGGAGTGCCTGGGGTCTTCAGGGCCTGCTGCCTCCCCAAGCTGGGTCCATGCCAGTCTGGTGTATTATCCTGGTGCCCTGTCCAGCAGTGTTGTGGCTTTCTGACCCATCATGAGCGGGAATGGCTTAGTAGTGACTGTCCCCGGCTCACACCACCCAAGCACATCACCTTCAGTCTGTAGAAGATTCTGGGAGACTTTAGAGCCCCATCCACTACCTAAAGGAGGCTTGTAAGAAAGAGGGAGAGCGCTGGATTTTTTTTTTTTTTTTTTTTTTACGTGGACAGATATTGATAGGACAAGGGGGAATGGCTTTAAACCAAAAGTGGAGAGATTTAGATCAGAAGTTAGGAAGAAATTCTTCCCTGTGAGGGTGTTGAGGYRCTGGCATAGTTTGCCTGAAGCAGCTGTGGTTATCYCATCCCTKCAAGTAGATGGAGCTTGGAGGAGCCTGGTCTAGTGRAAGGTGGATGGGATGAGATGAGGTTTGAGSTCCCTTCCGACCCCATCCATTCCGTGATTCTAAACCCAGACAAGATCCCCTCCTCTGGGGTGGTGGGATGGCCCCTCTTTGACTGCACCCTGTTCCCACTCCAGGACCAAGCTCCTGGAGAGCGAGTCCATGAACGAGTCCCTGCGCCGCAGCCTCTCACGCGCCTCTGCCCGGGCCCCCTACGCCATGGGCTCCTCTCCGGCCGCTGGCCTGGCCGGGCTCTGCAGCCCCGCGGCCCCACTGGACACCGAGGCCTCYGACGTGCTCCGCCGGGCCAAGCAGGACCTGGAACGCCTCAAGAAGAAGGAGCGGAGGCAGCAGAGGAAGAGGTGAAGGCAGCTGCTGTGAGAGGTTGGGAAGGGGAGGCTGTGTGAGGTCTGTCTGTCCCTATGGGGTTGGGTGCCCTGTTTCCCCTATCAGACTGGACACCTGGGCTCCCCTCCCAGTCCTGCCTTATCTTTGGTCTCCTTTTTACCCATCACAAATTCCTGAGGCTGTTTGCCCCAAAGGGTCCAAAAGCAGGAGCGGGGTTGGTCCTGGCAGAAYCCATTTCTGGCCTCTCTCATGCTGGGCCTCACCAGCCCCTCTCTGTTCCCCCCAGCCCAGAGAAGGAGGCGTTTAAGAAAAGGCAGAAACTGCAGCAGGACAATGGGGAGGAGACGGATGAGAACGAGGTGGAAGAGGTGAGTGAGCACTGTGCTCACACTGCAGGGGTGTCTGGGTGGGAAGGATTGYCATTGCCACTCGTGGCACAGTGAACAAGCTCAGCCTGGCCCTGGAGGCAGCTGGAATGTCGTTTTGATAAAGACTCTGTGCTGGAGCAGTGAGGAGATTGGATACTCCCCAGTMAGCCCTGCTGTRGAATGARGACCCCACAWTTTTGGGGRCTTGGTTTTGATCAGCATTGATGGTGAGGGGTTGGGCAATGCAGGGCTGCTCAGCTGGGGAGGGATGGATGCAAGAATCGATGGGTCAGATTGCTGCTGCTGTCAACAGTGTGTGCTGGGGGTCCAGAAATGGACATCCTGTGTCCCTGGGCATCCTGTGTGGGGAGCTGTGGGACACCTGGGGAGCTGTGGGGCACCTGGGGAGCTGTGGGGCACCTGGGGGGCTGTGGGACACCTGGGGGCCTGTGGGACACCTCGGGGGCTGTGGCCCTTTGCTGTAGGGTGAGCTCAGGTCTGAAGGAAGGAGAAGCAGCAGGGAGAAGGACAAACCATCCTGCTGGCTGAGATGAGGCATTCGTCCCTTAGGAGGAGGAAGAACAGGATGAGAGTGGCTGTGAGGAGGAGGATGGGCGTGAGGATGAAGATGAGGACTCGGGCAGCGAAGAGAGCCTGGTGGACTCAGACTCGGACGCAGAGGAGAAGGGTAAAGGGGAGATCTACGTGCAGCTGTGGGCACAAGGGGGGCATTTGCTGGTGTCTCTGGCTGTGAGCTCTGCTCCTGGGCAGGCAAGGTCACCAGGACACCCCGAACCCCTCTGCTCTGTGGGATTTGGACGAGCCCCAGGGTGGCTGCAGTGCCCTTTGGGTTCCTCTGCCCTCTCCTCGTGCTGTGGCTCAGCGGGGCCATGGATGCTCCTCCATCCCTCCCAGCTTGACTCTCTCCCCTGCCTCCAGCCGTGAATTTCCAGGCCGACTTGGCGGATCTGACCTGCGAGATTGAGATCAAGCAGAAGCTGATTGATGAGCTGGAGAACAGCCAGCGGCGTTTGCAGACCCTCAAGCACCAGTACGAGGAGAAGCTGATCCTGCTGCAGAACAAGATTCGGGACACGCAGCTGGAGCGGGACCGGGTCCTGCAAAACCTCAGTGAGAGCCACCTCCCCTGTGGGATCCCATCCCTGCAGAGTCAGGCCCCAGCTCCAACCCAGCTAACTCTGAGTCAAAGCACCCACCCTGGCTCTGGTAGAGCTTTGCCATCCTCTGCCTCTGCTGGAATCCCTGTCGCCCCCAGGATTCTGCGTGCCTTGCCACAGGAGCAGCACCAGTCAGCTGCATGGCTTTGAACCCTGTGGGTGCTGCAGAGGGATGTCAAGGCCAAGCCTCTTCCATCCTCGAGCACCACTTCATGAGCTGTGGGGACTCCTTGGGGAAACTGAGGGGTGAAAGACTCAGTGGTGGGGCTGATCTCCAGGCTTTAATGGGGCAGAGTCACACATAGGTGTGGCTGAGCTCTGCTCAGCCCAGCCTCTGTATCTCACTCTGTGCTGAGCTTTTCCAGTGGGTATCCCCAGACAGACCCCAGTTCCCAGAGGGATGAGGGGGGCTCTGATGGGGCAGGGGTGCCTGCAGGCGGGGTGTGAGGCTGCAGGAGGATCCTGGGGTGCCACGTCCAATGCGAGCCCTCTCCTCACCTGCCAGGCACCATGGAGTGCTACACCGAGGAGAAGGCCAACAAGATCAAAGCAGACTACGAGAAGAGGCTGAAGGAGATGAACAGGGACCTGCAGAAGCTGCAGGCAGCCCAGAAGGAACACGCTCGCCTGCTCAAGAACCAGTCCCGTTACGAGCGGGAGCTGCGCAAGCTGCAGGCAGAAGTGGCCGAGATGAAAAAGGCAAAGGTACCTGGACATGCCAGGGCAGGGGGGAATCACCTGGGCAAGCCTGGCTTCCACTTGGAGCTGTGTTTTCCACTCTGATGGCATGTGCAGAGCATCTGCCTGCTGGGTGGGTGCCCCAGGACACGTGTGGAGAGGGTGGGTGCTCCAGGACGTGGGCAGAGGGTGGTGGTGTTGCCTTGAAAGGCCAGTTTTTAAAAATGACACAGACACGGTTAAGGGGATAAAAGGGTTTTACTTCGGTATTTGGGATTCCAGGTGCATAATTTGATGGCAGAATGCACACTCGTGTACAGCACGGACACAAGCTTTATAGGTTTCAGGAATTAGCTTATCTATCTAGGATTCTCTAATAAGAAACTTCACAAATGCAGTAATGTCTCCCTATTTTAATGAATCTTTTCCTAGACGAGGCTAGAGCCTAGTTTACACAAGATGTTCTAGAGAGAAGGCTTCACCCAAGGCTGGAGCTTCAGGTTTAAGATAGCACAGGGTACACTGATTCTTTCTTGAGGATGTTTGGTTTCTCTGCCCAGTAGAACTCCTAAACTAAGCTGGAATATCAAGCTTCAGGAATTACAAACATGTGGGCTAAGGGGTACAGGCGGATGCATAGAGGGTACAGAAAGCGTAAAAAGGAAAAGCAAAAATCATGAGGCATCAGTGGGTGCTCCAGGACAGGGGACACACATGAGGGTGGTGGGTTTCCAGGACACACACAGAGGGCGGTGGGTGTCCCAGGACACACTCGGAGGGTGGTGGGTGCCCCAGGACACACGTGGAGGGTGGTGGGTGTCCCAGGACACACACAGAGGGTGGTGGGTGTCCCAGAACAGGCAGCACACGCAGAGCCCTCTGTTGCAGGTGGCACTGATGAAGCAGATGCGGGAGGAGCAGCAGCGGCGGCGGCTGGCGGAGACCAAACGGAACCGGGAGATCGCGCAGCTCAAGAAGGAGCAGCGCCGGCAGGAGGTGAGAGCCTGGTGCCACCTGCCACCAATGCAGGGGGCTGGCACTGCTGGGGAGGTGGCCTTTGTCCTGCTCTGGCACTCCAGGTGCTTAGAGATGAAGCTTGGTGCCCTGCTGCACTCAGGGCCTCGCTGGAGCCTGCACGGTTCGAGCAGAGCACAGCTGGCTGAGCGGCTCCCAAAGGCTTCCTTCAGCTCCTGATGCAGCTGTGGGAGGAGAAAATGTGCAACTGGAGCCAGGTCAAGGCTGGGAGCCTGCTTGTTGTTAGGAGTGAGATTGTTTGTGCCAAAGGGAGCACTGGGGCTGCGGTCACCACTGGGCTGGACCTCAGGGGTGTCCTTTTCTTTCTCTCTCATGCAGTTCCAGATCAGGGCTCTGGAGTCTCAGAAACGGCAGCAGGAAATAGTGCTGCGGAGGAAAACCCAGGAGGTGAGGGAAGGGCTTCCATATCCTTCCACACAGCCCCCACCTCCCACGGAGGTCTGGGCCCCTCTGCATGGTTTGGAGAAATCCCATCCTTTCAGACAGGGCTGCCTTTGGGAATGGGGTTCCCAAAAGGACAGGAGGGGATTTGTGGCTCAGGAAGAAGGTGGGAGATGGTGGGCAGCAGCAGAGTTCCCCATCCCGAGCAGCAGAGCCTGGTGGCAGAGGTGGCTGTGAGGGAGGAGACACCTCCCTCAAACCCATGAGGCACAAATGTCCCTGGGCTTTGGGTTTATGCAGCTGCCACCCTCAGACTGTGGGGACCTGGGGGTGGTGCCAACATGGGTGGGCTGGGAGGGGCTGCCCAGCTGACACCCTCCTCCCCTCTGCCCTTCCTCCATGTAGGTGTCAGCGCTGCGCCGTCTGGCCAAGCCCATGTCAGACCGGGTGGCCGGCAGGATGAGCCAGAAGCCGGCCATGCTGGACTCGGGTGCCGAGGTCTCAGCCAGCACCACCTCCTCCGAGCCCGAATCTGGTGCTCGCTCCGTCTCCAGCATCGTGCGCCAGTGGAACAGGAAAATCAACAACTTCCTGGGAGACCCCTCGTCCTCCATTAACGGGGCTCGGCCTGCCAGGTCAGGACAGGGGCTGGGTGGTGGTGGGGGGTGAGGCATCCCAGGGACTGCCGTCCCTGGGTTTTGGCTGGTGGTGGAGGTTGTTGGGTGGCTTCTTAGTGTCCATTTGACCCATGTTGAATCAGTGATAAGCTGTGCTGGCAAAGTGTGACAGTCACCCGGGCTTGAGCCAGGCCTTCCACAAGGATTAAATGCTGTGTCACAAACCCTGCTGGACTCATCTCTTTTCCCACTTTACTTGGAGGAAATGGGAAAGTTGGGAAATGCAGAAACAGCACAGATACATCCCCTGTTTCTGGCCAGCCAGATCCCAGAATCCTTCCTGGGGCAAGCCTAGCTCTCCAGCATGGTATGGCCATCTGCCCAAGTGCCTCTTCTTCCCTCTGGCTGTAGGAAGAAGTTCCCCAAGAAGGGGTCAAGCCAGACCTTCAGCAAAGCTGCCCGGCTCAAGTGGCAGTCGCTGGAGCGGCGCATCTTCGACATTGTCATGCAGAGGATGACCATCGTCAATCTCGAGGCGGACATGGAGAGGCTCATCAAGGTGGAGAGGGCTGGGTGGCGGGTGTGGGGCAGGGAGATGGCCATGTGGGCAATGCTGATCCCTGTTCCCTTGTCCCCCAGAAACGCGAGGAGCTGTCACTGCTGCAGGAAGCGCTGCTGGGCAAGCGAGCGAAGCTGCAGGCGGAGAGCCCCATGGAGCAGAAGGGGCTGCAGGAGCTGAATGAGGAGATCGAGGTGCTTGGGGCCAACATTGACTACATCAATGACAGCATTTCCGACTGCCAGGCCACCATCATGCAGATCGAGGAGACCAAGGTGGGCACAGGGGCTGGGCCTGGCTGGGAGGGAGGAACTGAGGGCATCCCTCTGTGGGAAGAGCATCCTTGGGCACAGCCAGCTGGTGCTGCGCTCTGGTCAGAGGACCCAGAGCCCTCTGAGAGCTGTCACACTCAGTGGGGCTTCACCCACACAGTCATTCTCGTTAGGTGATTGATTAGGGAGAGGAGTTCTGGAAGGTCCTTGCATGTCCATGGACAGGCTGCTCTTGTCCCACTGCCCTGGAGTTGTAGGGAAGCTGTGGCCACCGTTTGCCCATGGTGCTGGTGGTCTCCTGTCCCCATGGTTGGAAACATCCCAGGAGCACTGGCTTTTTCCCAGCAGAAACCATCCAGGTTTTGTGTCCAGTTGTGACACTGGGCATGGTACCATGCAGCTCCTGACTCCCCTCAGAGCCTGCAGCCTGAAATGGAGGCTGTGTGCTGTCCCTGGCTTGTCCCCAGCTGTCACCTTGATCAGCAGGGAAGGAGGGCTGCTGTTCATTCACACTAGGCTGTGGATTGTGGGTTTGGGTGAGCCTGGTGTCTATTCCGTGTCTGGTTTAGTGTTGGAACCAGAGACTGTGTAGCTGTGCACAAGCTCTTCAGTGTTGTTGCACAGTCCCGTGGCTGACTCTCCCCAGTAGCCACTGGGCAGACCGGGGGGGGCGAGTGTTGGACTGGGCCGTGCCTGCAAGGTGATGGAAGTGCCCTGCTGGCCATGGAGGCCCTTCCACCCTCCCCACATCTGGCAGAAGAGCTCCCTGCTGCATCCAGCACTTCTCTCCACATTCTAGGAGGAGCTGGACTCCACGGACACCTCGGTGGTCATCAGCTCCTGCTCCCTGGCCGAAGCCCGGCTGCTGCTGGACAACTTCCTGAAGGCCTCCATTGACAAGGTGTGGGGCCAGGCTGAGTGTGGGTGTGTGACAGGGCTTCCTGTGGGGTGCCAGGGTGGGGACATGGTGACAGGGACCTTTGTCACCCGCCTGAGCACCAGCATTGCTGCCGCAGGGGCTGCAGGTGGCCCAGAAGGAGGCGCAGATCCGGCTGCTGGAGGGGCGGCTGCGGCAGACGGACGTGGCCAGCTCCTCGCAGAACCACGCTCTGCTGGACGCCCTGCGGGAGAAGGCAGAGTCCCACCCTGAGCTGCAGGCACTGATCCACAACGTGCAGCAAGGTGGGCCTGGGGCAGGGGCGTCCTCAGGCCAGGTGTGCTGCCTGTGGGGTGGGGTGGGATGTCCATCCTTACTGGCCCCCAAAAAGCAGCTGGAGGTGCTGTGGCTGGCAACCTGCCCTCAAGGGCCAGACTGGTTGGGGACATGTGCCCTGGCCACCATATAACAGGGACAAGAACTGGGTCACCCCCACACCCTCTGCTGGTTTGGGTGGGGTGGTGACAGTGGTGTCCCCTCTGCACACAGAGAACGGCTACACCAGCACAGACGAGGAAGTTTCAGAGTTCAGCCTGGCCTCAGATGGAAGGTAAGCACCCAGCCTGGGGCTGCCTGAGGTGGTGGTGTCTGGGGCAGGAGCCTGGTGCCGTTTGTGAGACCTCCTAGATGGGCATGGATGAACAAAGCCCCACCTGAGCTCTTCTGTGGCACCCAGCCCATGGTGGGGGGAGCAGGATCTGTCTTGGACACAATCAGGGCATGAAGACTTGGTCATTCCTTGGAGAGAGGGTGTGGGGGAGCAGGGGTGACCCAAGGAGTCTGGTGGGCCACTGGCACCAGCTTTCTGAAGAGTTTGGCCCTGAAGATCCGTCTTTGCTTCTTTCTCCTTGCAGCATCTCCCAGTCTTTCACCATGAAGGGCTCAGCAAGCCAGGATGACTTCAAGTTCAAGGTTAGCTGGCCTTTTTGTGCGGCCCTGGCACAGAGGCAGGGATGGAGGGGTGGAGGGATGCTCAGTGATGCTCCAGCCCTCTCCTCTGCAGTCTGACCCTTGGGGAGCCAGGCTGGGCACAAGGCAGTGTGGCTGCTCTGTGGCTGGGCAGAACCAAGGTCTCCTGGTGCTGCCGTCCTGCGGCATCAGGGATTTGGGAAACCCCCACCACATCAGCCAGTGCCTCCAGAATCTGGTTGGCAGGGCCAATGGACTCCAAATCCCCAATCCTGAAAATGGGGTGGTGAGAGGGAGGTGGTGGTATAAGCTGTGGGTTAGACTGGATGTGGGGATTTCTCAGG